GGGGCCGCAGAGCCCCAGCTGTGGGTCTGCAGAATGCACGTTTGAAAAATACAGCCCTTCCCAATTTGTGTCTTCTCTGCTTTTTAGATAATTACAGCTTTGAAGAAGCAGCACTGAGGGACTTCCAGTCAAGATGGCAGAATAAATAGTCCCCAGCGTCACTCTCTCCCACAAATAACCAATTTACAACTATAAAAATGTAACATCAGCCAAGGTGGGGCTGCTGGAGCTCAGGGGAAGAGGAGGAGAGACCTACGGAGTTCATGAAGGGGGAGAAACCATGATGAGAAAAAGAAAAAACTGCTCAGAGCTTTTCAGGGTGCAGCTGCCTTAAGGCTGGAGCTGCTGAGTGCATGGGGCAAGAGTGGGCAGAAGCTGCAGCTGTGCACTTTGGATGGAGTTGCTTGGAGGTAGCAGGGTAGAAGAGGGCCTTAGTGGCCCGCAGGACAGCAAGACCACTAATAGTGTTCCCATGGACCCATGCAGGAGTGAGGAGCCAGAACAGCTGAAAATGGGGAGCCATTCAGAGGCTGGTGAGTCATCGCAAGGGACCCGCACAGGGCCCATCCCATGGAAGGTGTTTGGAGTATGGGCGGTGGGGGAGACAGGCCTACTGGGAGAACACTGGGACACAGCAAGGACATCTGATCCACCTCTCAATCAGTGCAGGACCACTCAGAGGAGACTGGTCGGGAATGCAGAATTGCATGGGGTGCAGTTTTATAAAAAAACTCAGACCCAGATCAAAGTTTCTACACAACCCAGGTGCACCAGGTCCCTGGAGAGCCAGAAGTACTTATAAGGTCAACCATTAAACTCTGAGCGGCACAAAAAGCTTCCCTAGGGAAACAGCAGCAAAGCAGCAATTTAAACAACCACACAGCTCAAGTACTAGTTCCCACAGGAAGTTCCCCCATTTTGGAAGTAAACAAAGGACAAAAAATTAGTTCCAGCCTGGGCACACCACCAGCACTTTGGGGCCCGCCCGGGAACACGAGGCTTGCAGCTGGGGACTGGGCTGCACTCCCACATCCAGGCATACCACCAGCACCTCAGGGCCCACCCAGGGGCCCAGGGCATAGAGCAGGGGAGCAGACCCCCCCTCCCACAACCAGGCACAGCATGCCAGTGCCTTGGGGACTGCCTGGGGACCTGAGGCATGGAAAAGGGGACTAGAAACCCCTCCCATGAGCAGGCACACCACGCCAGCACCTCAGGGCCCTCATGGGGACCGGAGGCATGGAGAAGTGGACCAGAACCCCTTCCCACAACCAGGCACACCATACCAGCACTTCAGGGCCTGCCTGGGGACCTGAGGGCTTGAGCTGGTAACTGGATCCGCTTCCCACAACCAGGCACACCACACTAGCACCTTGGGGCCCACCCAGCGACCTAAGGCATGGAGAAGGGGACTGGACCCCCTGCCCACAACCAGGCACACCACCAGCATCTCACGGCCCCACCTGGGGGCCCAGGGCATGGAGTTGGGGACCAGACCCATCTCACTCAACCAGGCACACCACGCCAGCACCTTGGGGCCTGCCCAGGGACCCAAGGCACTGAGCCAGGGACCGGACCCCCTCCCACAATGAGGCACACCACACCAGTACCTCAGGAACTGCCTGGTGATCCAAGGCATGGAGCGGGGACCAGACACTCCCCACAACCAGGAACACCACCAGCACAAAGGAGCATGCCAAAAACATCACCTCCATGTGGGTGGCCCACCACAGCCACCAAAATAACCATGGCTGCTAAGAAAGCGGCTAGATGACACAACCACCACGCAGATGGTGTGCCAGCCACTGGAGTGCATTGACACAAGGAGAGTCACCAGCAGAGATAAAGAAAAGAAGAGGATGTCTCTCTCCACAAAGCCCATTTCAGAGTGACAGAAGAAGCATCTGCTCTATGATAATACTGGGGGATCTGCTCACATCTCTCAGCATTGGACAGGTCATCTAGGCAACAAATCAACAGAGTAACCATTATTCTTTCAGAAGGAGAGAAGAAATCTAGGGTTATCAGAGGTGGGGGGCGGTAAGAAAGGTGGATGGGGAGAGATTGGACAAGGGGCATAAAGAATAATTATGATTTGGAACAATATATATGCTAGTAATATTGATTTGATCAACATATCTCTATGTTCAACCCCAAAATATGTAAAGTCAATTTTGATTCAATAAAAAATAAATATAGAAAGAGAACATGGTCTGTGTTGTAGTGATTTTTAAAAATATGTGTTGAGATTTCTCTGTGCCCACCTAACACTAAAGTTTCTATCTGTGTTTTAAAAGGTTGTATGTTTTATATTTTGGAGGCTACAGTGTTCTAAATATCACTAATAAAGAGAGTCATTTAAATGTGAAAAAAAAAAGGAGCAGCAGCAGCACTGAGAACACTATTAGTTTCCTAGTTACTAAACTGCAATATTTGCTACTTTTCT